ATATATATATGTAAGCCTTAGCTCATCAGAGCCATGGGGCAGGCAGCGCAGTGGTGATGGAATTGTAATTCAGATCAGAGCCCAGCAATGAGCTGAGCTAGCGCTTACCCTTGGCTCCACAGTCCTTTCCTCACCACGGGTTATTTCCCATAGCAATCATGCTAGAAAGGAGAAGAGGTGTTTTTAAATCATCAATTAGTGAGCTATAAGAAAAGAGGAACCTTCCACTGAATAAATGAAAATGGTTTCCAAATTAGTAAAAGTCATTTCAAACTCTTCATGAAGCAATGGCCGATGGAGGAGGGAGGGAACCATTTTTTGGCAAAACCTCACCAAGCCTTAGCCCTGTCTGGGATGGGCCTGGTATGGAGACCACTGTCTGGCATCACACCCGAGCTTATCAGCTGGTGCAGGTGGCTCTTGTTCATTGACTGCCGGGCTCTACCCTTGTGAGTGTCCCAGAATAGCTGCGGCTACCTGAGAGGAGTCCAGTCCTCAGGGACTCACTATTGTCCCAGATAAACAGCGTGGCTGAAGCCAGCACGTAATAGCTGTATTTAATGGTGATAAGTGATGGCCGATGTGCCCGAGTGAGTGGCATCACAAGTAGGGCCTGGGGACAGAGGCAAGCCAGCCTGGTAGCAGGCATTTCTTACCCATCCTAGGGTTGATGCCACAGGATTTTGGACTCCCAGGAATAAATATACCAGACTCCGAGAGCTGCCTTCTAGACAGATAAGACAGGATGGACCTACTGGACTTTGATTATGCTAATGACAAAGGTATTTGAGAAGACAAAGAAAAATAAAAGTTCAGAAAATGGATTAGATTGACTGAAGCAGGCTTCCTGATAGAGGTGGGATCTTTTGCCTCCAAGGGACCGTCCTGGAAATGTTAGGATGTGGAATAAGCCATTTTCTCTGGATACACATTTACTTCTGGGAGTGGTTATCTGGAAACTATAAAATTTCCTTTTAAGCGCAACCAGCATACGTCTTAGGCTATAAAGGCCGAAGGAGGAAGGGTGAGAATGACCGAATGTTGACAGTATCAACATTGAAAGGATTTACTAGTACTCAGGCCTATTTTTGGTCTCTGTAATTCTCTGAAAATTCTCATGTGATAAAGGAGGAGAAGTAACTCAATTACATTCTTAGCAGTGCTTACCTGATGAAAAGTGCCATTGGACAGTGGCTCACTCAGTGCACTTGGTGTGCAGTCGTGATTCCATGAGGAAGATACTTCATTCTTTTGGCCAAAGGGGCAGTTGCACCTGGAGTTCTGAGGGCACCTGGCCATACATGCCTGCTGGAGATCATGCACTGTGGAGCTGGTCTTCATACACGATACATACATGGTACACGAGAAGGGCTGTGTGTGTGTGTGTGTGTGTGTGTGTGTGTGTGAGAGAGAGAGAGAAAGATGTTCCACACAGTGGGGCCCTGGGGCCCTACCTGACAAACTCCAATTCAGAGGAAAACCCAAATGTGAGGTACAAGTAGAGCCACTTTCCCAGAACCTTCTGTGTTAAGGGACACTCCACAGAGCTCTGCTAGAGGTGAGACTGTGTGTGTGTGTGTGTGTGTGTGTGTGTGTGTTTAGTAGAAAGGAGACTCTTTCCAAAACTTGGGACTTAAGGGTCCAGAAATTAATAGTCTTTATTGTACACCGATAATAAGACATGTTTTCATATTTGATGCTGGTTTTGGTCCAAAGATCTTACAATCACAGAATATGAGAGATGGAAGATGTAATAGAAAATCTCACCCAGGCCTTCATTTCACAGAGGAAGACTCCAGGCTTGGGAAGGTTATGGACTAGGTCCAGGATCACACAGCTACTTAGGGTTCATGCTTTTGTTGTTGCTGCTGCTGCTGCTGCTGCTGCTGCTGTTGTTTGGGGTGGGGGAAGTATGTTTATTTATTTATTTATTTACTCTTGGAGAAGGTACTGGGGATTGAACCAGGACCTCATTGCATGCTAAGCATGTGCTCTACCACTGAGCTATACTCTCCCCCACGACTGGTTCACGCTGACTGTTAAACTGCATCTTCGTCTCACTCATTGTATTAATTCCCCCTTTACTCAGATCAAGAAGTTTAGACGGAGAGAACAGGTTGTTCCATAAGACACCTCTGCTTGGCAGGGGCTGAGCCGGAACTTCCTGCCATGATCACTTTTTAAAAGCCCAAGCTCACTTCCTCCCCACTCTTGAGTTTCATACCTTGCAAATCAATAACTCTCAGGAAAGCGACGCCCCAGCTTGGTTCTTCATTTGCAATGATTCCAGAGTCTATTTCTGTGTCACCTACCAGGGGGCTGCCTGAACTAGCCAAAGCCAGAAGGACAAACAGAGATACCCTTCCTCCCACCCCCTCCTCAAATGTTACGGCAGAGAGGGACCTGCACTGCCACCATCTGGCCTTGATGGGTGTCCCAGACGCGGCGAGTGTGCGGTGAGAGGGAAGGAAAGGGCACGGAAGTCTGCTCTGACATCCTCTTCAAATACGCTTGGTGTGAGGAGGCTTTCCAAGCAGCAGGAGTGGGGCTGCAAAAAATAGAGTGTGGTGCAGCTGCACCCTTTAGAACTTTGGGGGAAAACACATATTATTTACCAGACAATAATAGATACCAAAGAATAATAATGATTATTATAGCGTTGGGGGTGGCAAACGCCGTAGTTAAGGTTCCAGAATGGTTCTCATTATAATCCTGTTTTCTGAGTCCCTTTTGAAAGCCTTGAGATTTTCTGCAAGAAGGCTGAGGCTGTCCATGTTTGGCCTTTGTCCAAAGGTGATTTCAATACAAGGAAATTTACTTGAAAAAGATTCCTCTTTTCGGTGATGATGGGGTTCATGACTGCATTAAAGAAAAAAGCTGTATCCTTGAAAAAGCAGTTGCAGAATTCTTAAGTAATTAAAAATTGGGGTGCTTCCCAGTCACTGGAAGAAAGCATTAAACACCTTTTTTTTTTCTTTCCCTTTTTAAAGAAAGGATTCAGAGGTCCCCTCTGACTACAAGATTTGGTCACTCTTGGTCCCAAGCCCAGAGGTGGAAATGGTTTCCCTCCCACCATAGAAAGTTCCAGGCTGTGCTTCCTAAACAGAAAAGAGTCACCCCCAGAAGAAACTACATTGTGTCTTTGGATCCATTTGTCATTTCAGAGGTCCCTTCCCAATTCTTTGTGACCTTTCATTTGATGATGGCTCTTGGTGTTTTGTTTTTATACCTCTTCTCATCATTGTCTCCTAGAAAGGAAAGAAGGAAGGAAGGAAGGTGGGCTGGAAGGAAGTAAGGAAGAAGGGAAGGAAGGGAGGGAGGAAGCAAGGAGCAAAGAGAGAAAGAAAGAAAAAGGAAAGGAAAGAAAAGAAAAAAGAAAGAAAGAGGAAAGACAGAAAAAAAAGAAAGAAAGGAAAGGAAAGAAACTCAAGTGAGCTCTTTATTCAGAGATAAATACCCACATTTCCAGATCTGACCATGCCAAATGAAAAGGTTTCCATGGCCTTGTAATTCCACTCCCAATGCATATTTGTGGTGGTTTGCATTTTCACTTTGGTTATTTAATATACATATTAAATGCACACAGATCTGGTGATTTAATGTGATCTGGGGAACCCAGGCATTTCCTGTCGTGCACATTCAGATTTTCAAACCTTGTTTTTGGCTGATTGTTATTATCGTTGCCATTAACACCAGGATTTGGACAGCAGGGTTCAAAGCACAAGCTTGTACTTAGTCCTCCCCATGGACATTTTGACCTCCTCACACTTGTGCTAAATTCATGCTGCAGACACTCTGAGCAAGTTTCCAGGTCTCTTTGTGGCCTCCATTTCTTCATCTAAAAATGAGGAAATTGTGTATATTATCTCTGGGGTCTCTTCAAGTTCTACATTCTATCACCTGAAATTATTTGTTCATTGTTCTAGGAATAATCTCAACAGTTGTAAAGATATTTAAGAAGCCCTCTGTTACCACCTTCTGTTAGCCCAATTTGACCCATTCACATTTCTGACATCCCCATTTATTGGCAGGAGGAAAAGGTACTGTTTTGGGACATGGGGGACAAGAGCTGTTTGACTCTCATTCATTTGACAAATGTGTGTTGAGCTGAACTGGGGTTCAAGTGTAGGGACGTGAGCAAAACAAAGCAACAGACCTCAGGGACTTCACAGTTTAGTTGGCAACTTCTGAATGGCTGCTTCCTAGGGGTGACAGAGTATCCTCAGGAGACTGGTAGCCAGTGAAATAAGCCAGTAGGGCTAGAGAGGCAGAGCCTAACGTCTGTGATGAAAGTTGGGATGCGCACTCCCCAGAAACCGACTTTCCTGGTGAACAGTCCTGTTCAGACCCTCTGCCCTAAGATCTCAGTCCCAAGCTTGGCTTGGATGTGAAGAGATGTGAGTGGCTCACCTTTGTCAGGCAAGACTCACAGAGAGGGGGCCCTTCTTCCAGCTCCGTCGTCCCGTAGGAAACCTTGGAGGAGAGGTCTTTGTGTCCCAGTAATTTTTCTTGTGCTAAAAAGTCAATCTCATAGCCTTCCTCCTTTGCAGCAAACACTGGGGCTGTTAAAAAGAGTACGGGGGTGAGGTCTGCAGCACCAGGGTACCCCAGTGACCTTGCCTGGCTTTGGGGTGACCTTGGGCAACTCCAAAGACCTCCTGCCAGTTAAGCATGTGGTAACGAGGAGAGTGTAAGTTGCTGGGTGGCAAAGGATGCTGTTGCGGTCTCTGGGAGAGGGCAGGGTGCGCCCTGCTCATTATGGTATTCCAAAAAGCGACTCGCGTTTCATTTCCTCACACACACGAAGCTGGCAGCATTGGCCCCGTGCAGAACTGTGAATGAAAGTTGTGTGGAAACCAGGCTGTGCTGCCTCGGGTCTTAAGTCTGACCTAATGGCTAGAGAGCGTGCTGCTCTGACTCAGGCCTGGGGCCTCCCCAGCTTGTGGGTGGGGGGTGGCTTGGTCTAGTGGATTCTAACAAGAGCCCTTCTCTTTTTCTAGGAACGCTCGCTCACAGGGTACCTTGCATGGAGAGACGGCGCAGAGCAAACCATGTCTCGCCATCCAGTGACACCAGCTGGTCAGCTCACCACCCCCTCTGGCTAAAACTCAAGCAAATAAAGCCGCTTCCTGTCATTAAGCGTCTCTGAGGAAGCAGCCCTCCCTCGGTGGCCTCTAGCCCAGAGAAGCCAGCACGTCTTGGACCCACCAAGCGGGCGCAGCCTTCCTGCTGCCACCACCTTGGCTTCTCCCCAGAGGAGAACTTAGGGATTTTGCCCCTGGTTTTCAAAAAAAAAAAAAAAAAAAACACAACAACAACAAATCACCAACAAGCCACAAGGACCAATGTAGGTATTCCCTCCGCCCCATCTTCAAGGCTCAGAGGGTGAGGCTGGAAGATGATACGGATTTGAAAACAAAAACTGTTTTTTAAAATCTTTTTAAAAACTGCTGTGGTTTTGCTGCTACACGAAGAAGTGTGATTTGCATTGTACGGTTTTGGACGTTTACTGTTCACGTTTTGACGGCGGAGAGGGATCGTACTGGAGTCCCACCACTTCAGATTCATCTCTGTCCTGCCCAGGATGCACTTTTAAATGAAGAGTTAGAATATTTTATTGGCTAATATACTTTTCTTGTTATTTTTACAAAGGCCACCTTTATCCTTTTTAATGCCATATTTTCAGTGTTACACTTTTATGGCTTTTAATTTTCGATTTGACAGATGTAAGAAGCAGCATGAATAGTTTATACTGTGGTTTTTCAGAGACTGAATGCCAAGAGAACTCGGTAAATGTTTATTCTTCTCAGCTTTCTCTTTAAATTCCCCTAAATAGTGCCCCATTTGGGAACAGAGTAAGAGTGTTGAACTGAAGACCAAAATGCCCTCAAGGTGTAAAATAATCCGAGGGGGAATATTTGCTGGGCGTCACGAAAGACTTGGATGAAATTTCAACCCTGATGGTTTTCGGTGATCCAGGAAGTCAGTGAAGCAATCTCTCTATACGCAGAGTCCTTTCATGATAATTAGAATGGTATGGACAAACCAATGAAAGCAGGAGGCAAAGTGAGAAAGCTCACCCGTGATTCTGTTTCACTGTTTGCTTTCTCCTGTCATGGTTAAGAGAAATGTGCAATTCGATCCTCAATCAGTGGGTGGAGGATAACAGGGTAGATTTTCTTGTGTGCACTTGTACAGTTGTAGCTGCGAGTCCAGAAGTCCTCTAGAGCATGTGTACTGGCACTGAGTTGGTGAGACAGTCGTGGAGTATCCCATTCTGATGAGTACAGGAAAAAAAAAAAGAGAATAAGAAAATCCCCAAAAAAGAAGAAAACTAAAAAAAAAAAAAAAAAATCAAATCACCTTGTGATTCAGTGTATCTGTTTACTAACTCCAATAAAGCAATTGTTCCCTCTGGAGGGGTCCAGGTACCCCCGCCCACGAGGCCGTGGAGCCGGTGGCAGGAGGGGGGCGGCCGGGCGGGCGAGGCCGGGGCGGTGCCACGCTGGCCTTGAAGCACCACGGGGCCCGTGGATGCGGTGTACATACTGTATTTCTATATTCTCCTTTGTACAGAGTCACTTAACAAGTCAAGCTACTGTTTTACAGGTGCTCCTTATTTATTAGAGCTGTGAGAGCTTGGGGGACACACCTGGCGAGCGAGCTCGCTTTTTAAAAATGAAATTGGGGGGCAGGGGACAGGGAGGCGGGAGGGAGGGGAAGCTCGCGAGCCTGGGGAGAGATTTATAAAAGTGAACAAAAGGAAAACTTCCAGCAACCAATTAAACAAGCCATCCAGCCCTCCCACACCATACCCGCCCAAGCCAGGCGCGGCAGCCCCCACCTCTGGGTGCCCAGTTCCCTGCGGGGCCCCCAACGTTCTCCTCTCTCCCTGACTGGTGTCCGATTCATCAAACAAAAATAAATCTCTCAGAAAGAAAAATGCACTTACATGTGCTTATTTTGCTTTTCTCATTATTATGACTATTGTTGTTATTTTCCTTGTTACAGAAGGTGTTCACTTCTTCCCTCCAGGGAAAAATATTTTTTAAATAAAGCTAATAAGTCTTATAAGATGTTGCGATAGGAGGGTGACCCTAGCCCTTCCCAAGCTAATTCTCTGCAAACGAGAGCCCACCTGGTCCGTTTGAAGGTCTGCTGCCCACCACCCGGTTCTTGACAACACGCAGTGCGCATAGAGGAGCTCTTGGGGCTGTAGACTGCGGTGCCCCTTCCCAGGTGCTCTCTAAGTCCTGGTCTTTTTTGGCTCCAAGGGTCTGGGTCTAAGGCTTAAGAAGCATCATGCAGTGAAAGCAAACCTCCCTGGGAGACTCTGCTCCCATCAGTACCTCATCTCACCTGTGGGTGTGTGTAGGGAGATGGGGGTGATTATGTGGATGGGAGGGGTCAATCCAGTTTTGCTTTGGTACCTGAATTAAACATCAGAAAGTTTCTAAGATGGAAAGAGCACTGATACCTAGTTCTAGTCAATATTAACATACCCTAATCCTCTTGTTCTGCATATGAAAAATCTGAAGCTGGAAAGGTGAACTGACCTGTTTAGATCCCACGCTGAGCTGGTTTAGCTCATCAAAACACAAATGTTCATTAAAAATTTAGGCACCATCAGCAATCTCCTCTAAATAACCATCCTAGCAGTGGATTCTGGCCACTGGGTTTCTTTCTCTCGTGGAGCCTGAGGGATCTTGGAGGTTCCTGGTGTGAGTTATGGGTATGACTCCATCAGAACTCCTCAGCCCAGCCAAGGATGTGCCAAGCCAGCAACCCGCTGGGGCTGTCTGGTGCAAAGTCCCTGATAGCGTTACTCATCTGGATTTGGCCGTAGACACAGTCATCCAGGATATTGATTTTGCTTCTGTCTGTAGTCCAAGATCATCCAGCAAACACACTGACCCTTCAGGAAACAAAAGGTCCGTTTGTTCCAATATGAAAAGATTCCACGGCATCTCATTAGACAGCACACCTTTTCCTCCTTCTCTTAATCTTAGTGTTCCCCGAATACAGAATCCTGATGGGCTATCAAAGCCATATTCAGAGAAATAGAAATAATGCCAACAATTATGGACATCAGCCTCATCGAGTCTTCACAGTAACTGTGAGATGTTTTCCCTTTATTGCATATGAAGAACTGGCAACTCGGTGAGTTTAGTAATTGCCCAAGTTCACACAGCCAGTGAGTACAGATGGGAGTCAAACCCAGGCCACACGTCCAATCTGGAGAAAAACTGTTGACATCTTCCTGACTTACTATTTTGACTTCCTGTAAGTTTGTGGCAGTGATTCAGTTTTGTTCCAAAGTGGCCCTCGTATTAGACTAAGCTAGAGAGTGGAGTGTTTGTGGCTACTGGCCTCCGCACCTTGTTGGCTGTGGGGAAGTGCTGAGGCCACTCCGCTTTCTGAGACATTAGGCAGTGAATTCCCTGCTGATTATCAAAGCCCCACCCAACACAAGGCCCCATGTGTGATGCCGAGGGGAGACCTGGAAAGAATAAAGCTCACAGCCCCGCTCCAGTGGCTTCCATGAAGTGGGAAGATGGGGCTGTGAAGAAGGGCTGCTTCTTGGTCTCAGCACGATCTCTCCTGTAAGTTTCCAAGGTTTATGAAAAATCACATCTGGAGCCTGGATTCACAGCTTTGCAAAGCCACCCTCTTTTTGCAGGTGCTCCCTTGACACTGGAAAAGCAGCTTGAGCTGCAAGCAGGGCTATGGATTGCAGTTTGTGCTGCTCACATGGCACAGCCAAGGGCCGGGGCTGGGACAGGCGCACAGGCACAGAAGACTCACACTGACTCCCTCCCCACCGGCTCCTCCTCTACCCTGAACTTCGCCTTAGGTTCCCTCACCAGTTTCAACAGGGACCCACCTGGGGACATGCTTCGTTGGTTCCCCGTGGCCTACAGGGTGGCATGCAAAGCCCTCTGGGCTTCTGCTGGACTTTACAGCCCCACCTGCTCCCTGCCCCCAGCCTCACTTGCACGCCACCTGCTGAATTAGGAGCTGTTTCCTCTCTAGCCCTCCTATGTCTTTGCACAGGAAGCTGCCTCTGCCTTGAAGGTCTTTCCCGGTATTCTGGGCGACTTCTGCTGACCATCGAGACTCAGCCAACTAGTCAGTTACACTCTCCTGGGGAGCTTGCAGGCACTACCTCCTCCCGCCCTGCCCACGCCCCTCCTTGCCCACCTCCATCCTGGTGCACATCACACTCCCAGCTGCTCACCTGGCCATGATCTCTGCAAAGTCCTTGAGGATGGGGACCCTGTCTTATTTGCCTCATATCTCCTAGACCCAGCACTTGGAAAGCCCTCCTTATTACTATGATGTTGAATACAATTAACAAGCCATCCGCTTCAAAGTTCAGTGGACGTGCCACCTCTCAGTGATGTCCAGCCTGTGACAAGGTTACTTCACATCACAGGGTTATTTCCCTGAGAGGCAGTTAATTGCCTCTCCCTTCGGCTCCCATGGCTCTTGTTTACGTGGAACGAGGCCACTTCTTGAGCCATCCTTCCCACGTCATTCAGGCTGCTTGAAGCCAGGCACTTTGCATCTTTGAAGAACTATTCTCCACCCCCGAAACAGAAAACATTGGCTGAGTTGAAGCCCTTTCCTCCTACTAGCCTAATGGGAGAAGATAACAGGGAACCCATCCCCAGAAACCAGAGCAGGCATGCGAAAGACACAGGAAGGCTGCGGAGTTTCATTTTGTCCCTGGTGCTCAAGGTGAGTGGTGCCAGTGACTTCCCAGATTCAGCACATCTTCGGGCTGCTTTTGAACGTAAGGAGCAACTCAAGGGGAGAAGACGCAGCACTATCCTGGGGCTGGGCGGCAACGCCAGGCCACGGAAAGGTTACATTTCTTGTCCCCAAGAGCCTTAGAGATTAGATCATTTCTTGATGGAAAGTTAGTCTTCAGCATCCAGAAATGGCCTCTTATTCCATCGTCTTAACCGTGCCTGGAATGAATGGTTGCCACCAGGGTATGGAGTTCTTCTGGTGAAAGGAGGGGCCTCCACTGAGAAATGGAACAGGGTTCACATCCATTAGATACTTGCTCTGTGCCTGGCCCCATCTATAGGCCTGGCATACTTTTGCTTATTTAATTCTCACAACAGCCCTGTTGGAGGGGTTAGTTTTATCACCCCCATTTCAGAGCAGAAGAAACTGAAGCATGAGGATGAAGGGGTTTCCGTCCACAAATATAAGAGGCAGAATCCAGCAGTGGACTCCAGTGTCCACACTCCCTGTGGTGATGAGAGCCGCATCCCCAGGGCCCAGGACGCCTGGCGGTTTAGGCCGTTTGGCAGAGTTTAGGTCATTTACTTGGTGCCTAAACCATGAGATTGAGACACTTTTGACCTCTGTGTTGCATTTGGAGAGGAAAAAAAATCTACTTGTCTTGATTCCTGGCTTTGAACGTCACCAAAATCACAACTGCCAATGTGTCCATAGGTAAAGTTTGAGGGAGTAGGGTGGGGGCCTGTACCAGCAGCTCAGAGAAAAGAAGGGAAGAGAGAAGCACTTTGGTCCCTGTGTTAAATTTCCTGGGGCAGGAAGAAAGGGGGCAGGCAGACCAGGGGATGTTTTCCATTTCCCATTATTCTGATTTTGGGAGCTGTAAGCTGGGTTCTCCCATGGCACTTGCTTAGATGGGTGAAGAGGTGTCAAACAAGGGCAGCAGGTGAGCTGCGGGGGCCACACAGGACTACATCCCTTTGCCCAGAGGGGAGGGGGCTGGAGCCAATTCTCGCAGTCACTTTTGGGCTGGGTCACTGGATCCCAGGTCACCCAACCAACCGAACAAATGGACATGCCAGACATAGCCCAGGGCAGTCACTCAGACTGTCTCAGGCAATTCTCCCAAAACCACATGCTGTACAGGCTGTGCAATCCCCATTTCCAGGTGAGAAAGATACAGTTCAGGAAGATTAAGTGATCTGTTCAAGTCACTCAGCCAGTAAGACAGAGCCAAGACTTGGACCCTTGGTCCCCACGAGCAGAGCTCTTTGATGGCACTGCAGCTGCAAAAATACCAGCATCAACTCAGGTCGTAACTCAGTTTGAATCTGAATCAGCCAATGGGACATGTTCCTGATGATGTCATTCCAGCCCGCTTCCAGACATCTGGGAATGGACCACACTCTCTTTCCTCACCCATTCCATACTTGCAGAGTTAGGCCAAACTAGCAGACAGTGAACCCCTCCAGGAGGGTATCAACACCACTGCTAATCTTAATGGACATTATCCAATGTGTACTAAATGCCACTTTGTTTGCACTCTTTTATTAATGCCTCACAACAACCTGTGAGGTGATTACTATTATTATTCCCATTTTACAGACAAGCAGCTGAGCACACAGAGGCTAAGTAAGGGCAGAGCCTTGCACTGCCTTTGGGTGGTCGGATACCTAGCCCAGGCCTCACCAGCATACTTACATTTTGACTTCCCTCTTATGGACGGATGGATGCCTGAATGTGTGAGTGAAAGAGCATTTAATTGAGGACATCACGTGAGGCCAGATCTTACACTGGTCATTTTCACATATGTCATCTCATCTTTGAGCGGGACTGGAGCATCAACTCTGAAAGTGACATAGAGGAGCACAGAAGTGGTTCCCATCTCCTGAGTGATGAAAAAAAAATCAGTCGCCCATATCTTCTTCACCTCACCTCCTGTCAACTCCTGTTCTGAATGAGCACTCTTCATTGCAAACACGGAGGTCCTCGTAATCCAACAAATGGGACTGCTGAATGGGATCCCCTCCGGAGATCTTTATGGAGCTTTCCACTCATCTGCTTTCCTCTAACAGTCTGCAGGCAAGGATCAGGGCTAATTCACCTTTGCATTCCCTACACGCTCCTGGCACACAGCACGCACTCAACGTTGAAGGACTGAGTTGCTGAGTGTGTAGATCCCAGCTGTTG